TGCTTTCCAGGATGCCTCCAGTCTTAGTCAGACCATTAAGTCTCGTCTTCTTACTAGAATTCGAGTTCTACATCCCATCGTTCCACTGCTCCATCAGGCACCCTGTTGTGTTTCCTGTCAGGACGTTCACTGGTGGTAGCCGGGCACCATCTAGTTCTTCTAGTCTCAGGCTGATGAAGTCTCTGGTTTATGTGGCCCATTCTGTTGGGTTCTAACGGGTCGGCCTGTGAGGAGGCTCTCCCTCCATCCAGCAGCCTCACTGCACCTCTCTCACTGGCCTGAGGCCTCCTGGGGCACACAGAGTGGACCAACTCACCCTCACTGAATACCCAGTCATCCCACCCACCACCCAGCCACCAACTCGTTCTGGCTCCCCCAAGTGTGGTGTCCAGGCCCCGGCTTCCTTTCTGGAGAATAATATTCCTGGATCCCACAGATGTCCCTAAGCCCCTCCCACCCAGCCACCCCCTCTTGCTGGGGTCATGTTTGTCACTACCCCTCAGGGGTGGGCCTCAGGAGTGCCACAAAGCTCCACGCTTGGTCTGGCCACCTCCAGGGCACAGCCACTGGCCTCCCCTTCCTCTTTTGGGCCTCAATCCTGTCCTCCTTAAATCCGGGACATCCCTGGAGCCCCTCTTGACCCCACACAGTCCCACCAGGGACTCTCAGGTCTAGTGGGGTCAGACAACGCTTGCCAGGCCCCGGGCAGGTCCAAAGTATCTCTTCATCCCTTCGCCTTGGAAATGATGCAGGGCTGGGGGAAGCTGGTGAGATGGGCATCCCTGAAGGCAAGTACCCAGGAAGCCAGGGATGTCCACCCTCACCCTGGACAGGACTGACAGGACAAGAGATGCTCCAGTCTGGGCGCATAGCCCCTTGGGCTCTGTGGGAGCCCTTCTATGTCTGATCGCCCCCACATGGCTGCCCAGGCTCCCCCTCTCCCTGTACTCTTCCATGGGTATAAGGCAGAATCAATAGCTGCTTCCTTATGTACTCGCTGTGTGGCTTTGGGTGAGTTCCTTAACCTCTCTAAGTTTCCTCATCGGTGAAACGTGATAATAAAGCTTGCACAACAGGGCTGCCAAGAACGTTGAAAAGTGTGTAGCACAGCGCACGTCACCCAGTAGGTGCTCAGTAGATGCCAGTTTGCTTCCCTCCTGCCTTTCCCTTTCCTCAGGCTGGGCCATTCTGCGGTACTGGAAAGCTCTTTCTGAGAGACTCTTGGGCTGAGGCAATCTCTGTAGCTGGCAGAGGACTCGAATCTCAGGGAAAGCCACAGATTAGAATTCAGAGAAGCAGCTAAGATAAGGTCCCTGAACCCTTACTGCCTCCTTAAAAAAACACCGAGGGCTCTAATCTCTTTTCCAATAAAGGAAATACATTAAGCGTATTTAGTCAGGAGGAGAGGGGGTGTGTGGAGGAATGACAGGCCCTTTTCAGAGAAGAGCAAGCCATGGTAGTTCAGAGCAGACATCCTGGTTGGATCCTGGGTCTGTCACCCAGCTGCTGTGTGATTTGGACATACCAACTCCTTGAGCCTCAGTTTCCTCACCAGTAAGTAGGACGCAAGAATGAACGTCAGACCCACAGTGCCCAGTGCTGGACATGGGGCAGCCACTCAACAAACCAGGGGCTGCGATCATCAGTGTCATCCTCCTCCATCCGACAGACGTGTGCAGCTTTAGAACCAGTGGACTCCAAGGGAAGAGTTTAAAACCAGAAGGCCAGAGTGGGCCCTGGTTCTCCAGGGCAGTGTTTCCCAATCCCGATGCTTCCTCTGTGTCACATTCAGTTCTAGGGGTGTTAATAGGGGCCAGGCCAACAAAACAAAGTATTCCATGATCACGCGTGCTTGGGAAGCACTAGGTGAAACCAAGCTCCGTAATCCAGGACTTCTCAGAAACGTTAATACGCTGATGTGCACAGTGCTCTCCACCAGGGCACCAGGACATACAGTGCTTCCCACGCGGAACCTGCCTGGAAGGTTTTCCTAGGGAAACTCAGCCCTAGGTAATGGGTTTGCATAAACTCAGCATTTAACTGTGCGGCCCTTTCTGTTCATGCATTGGGTGATGTGTGCTTATTTCTCTAAGTAGACAGTAGTTGCCTCTTTATGCTCCAGAGTGACAAGCACAGGACCACTGGGTCCTGACCATGCATCTGGCATGAATCACTCACTCCTACCTCCCAGCAACCCTGTGTGGAAAAGCCTGCTTTCGTGTGGTTCTTGAACAACATGGAACCCCTCTGGTGCGACAAATGTTTCATGAAACCTCCGTTGGAAAATCCTTTCTGGTCCTCTCATAGCCATGGTACAATACACTGTTACTTATTTATTTGAGTAGGTAATGCCTGCACATGCTCTAAAATTCACAAAGTACAAAAGTGCAAAGTCCCCCCACCCCCCATTCCCAGAGTCATCCGATGGGAACAGCTCTTTAAGGAAGCTCTATTTATTATCCCCACTTTCCAGATGGGAAAACTGAGGCTCCAACAAGTTAAGCAACTTGCCCAAAGCCAGCGCACCATTCTATTGGCCTCTCCTCTACACTGGAGACCCCAGAGTCTCACCCCAACAGTTTACAAATGCCAAGGAGATGCTTACTGAATTGCAGCTGAGCAATTAGTAAATCCTCAGCGGGTCAGACGTCATCCTGTACCTTTATGGGGGAGGAAAATGCTGGACGGGGAGAAGAAGTAAACACAGCAGCCGCCGCCGCTGCCATCCTGTCCCTGGAGAGCTGTGGTGTGGCTCGTGAGAATAAGGTCCAAATCCGAAGGGCCACAGCAAGCCAACTGGGGATGCAGGGAAATGGCGAGGGACTCCCTCGGCCCCCCATTGCTAAGTGAAGGCCTGAGTGTCCATCCCTGCTGACTTTGCTTGTCCTCCCCTGTGCACACCAGACCCCTGCTCCCACACGAGCTGAGCCTTGGGGACCACATGAAGCAAACATCTGAGAGCCAACTGTGAACAGTGGGGCACACAGAGGCTTGTGACCTGCATCAAACACCTCCCTCATCCTGCCACATTAACTGCATTTTTTTTTTTTCTGAGACGAGAAATACATACATGTTGTTGTTAGCTGCCATTAAGTCGGCCCCCAACTCATGGTGACCCCGTGCACAATGGAACAAAACGCTGCCTGGTCCTGCACTATCCCCATTATCGCTTGCGGAATGGACCCTTGTGATCCACAGGGTTTTCACTGGCTGATTTCTGGGACATAGATCACCAGGCCTTTCTTCCTAGCCTGTCTTAATCTGGAAGCTCTGTTGAAATCTGTTCAGCAACATAGCAACTCGTAAGGACAGGCAGTGGCTGCACATGAGGTGTAGTGGCTGGAATTGAACCCGGGTGTCCCACATGAAAGGCAAGAATTCTACCACTGAACCACCATAGCATACAAAATTAGGAAGATAACAAAAAAGTAAAACTGAGAAGCTATAGGTCACACATATGTTCCCACCTGGAGAACTTTGCTTAAACCCCTGTGGTGTGAATTTTCTCACACCCTTTCCTGGGCATATACATACTTTGTGTTGTTCTTTTAGAAGAGTATCATGTAGACGCAACCTGTTCCCCTCCCCCCACCCCCACTTAACTATGTATCATAGCGCTTGTTCCATGTTAATAAGTAATGGTCTCCATCATCATTTTTTCATGGTTCCATAGTCTGGATTTATTAAACTTAATTAAACCAGTCCCCCACTGATGGACATTTAAATTGTTTCCAATTTTTCACTCATACGAGCAGGGCTGCAACCATCATCTTTGAACATACATCATTAGACAGTTTTTGGTTTATTTCCTTAGGAAATATTCCGTGGAGTGGAATTGCCAGATCAAAGGATATATATATATACTTTTTAGGTAATGACATGTACCGTACACACACAGGATAAAGGTCGCATGTGCTCACGCTCCCGTGTGACAGGCAGCATATTCACGGCCACCAACCAGCTGCCGTCGACTGGAGCTGATTCTGACTCATGGCGACCCCATGTGTGTCAGAGTAGATCTGTGCTCCATAGAGTTTTCAATGGCTGATTTTCTGGAAGCAGATCACCAGGTCTTTCTTCTGAGGCACCTCTGAGTAGACTCAAACTGCCAAGCTTTTGGTTAGTGTTAACCATTTGTACCAT